TTTGAGAAAGGGTCTCACTATGTAGTTGAGACTGACCTGGAACTCACTGTGTAGCCCAGACTGGTCTCCAACTCACAGTGATCCTCCTGCCTCAGCCTCCCCGAGTGCTGGGATTATAGGCATGCACCACACGCCTGGCAGAAATGTGAATTTTTGACTTGGTATTTGTCTTTGTTACTTTTCTCACTGCTGAGACGAAATACCTGACATCCAAAGTTAAAGGAAGAAAGGTTTATTGTAACTGAGTTTGTAGAAGTTTCAGTGTATAATCAGTGGGCTCCCAGGCAGGGTGGCATGGCAGAGGGACATCACAGAGGAGAAACAGTGTGTGGCAAAGCAGGGCAGGCAAAAGGCAGCAAGCAGCAAGCCATTACAGCAGCAACCCCTCTCCCCCCGCTTTTTTTGGTCAGATCAAACTTAGGACCTTGCACCTGCAAGGCAGGCGTGGTGCCACCAAGTTACATCCTTGGCTAGTAGCCCTTTTCTGTCCCTTATAGTCTGTTCAAGCTACATAACCTTAGGGTGGGTAGGACTTAGAACCAGGGTGTGTCTTCCCATCACCCACACCCAGAACTATGCCAAACCTATCAGTGGACTGATGTGGGAACCACCCACTCTCGATCCCAGCAGCTACGTCTGAAAAGCCTCACTTATGTCTGCATGCATCCTTGGGGGACATCTAGACACGAGCTATAATAGCATTTCTTTTATCACTTTTTAGGTGCGGCTTGTTCAAAAGAAAGATACAGGGCATGTATATGCGATGAAAATCCTCCGTAAAGCAGACATGCTTGAAAAAGAGCAGGTAAAGCAGAGTTGGAGCAGTGCTTTTAGTCAGCTTATGAATTTTTTGTCTCCTAAGACTGTTATTTTTGCTTAATGGAAATGTGTATTTTGCTACAGTTTTCTTTAGCTATTATATACATATAGTACTACTTTTTCCTCTACAAAACATCAGTTACCTATTTAAAAGTGCAAATAATGCTTATGGGTTATGTACATTCTTTTTTAAAGTTGACAACCTATTAAAGAAACCGCTAATGTATTAATTTCCCAGTTGATCACAGATGTCCTTGTCAAGAGAACCTTTTGGAGGTCATAATTGCTGTGGTGTGTTTCTTATCAAATTCTGAGATGCAAATTGTATATATACCTTGGAACTGAGGAATAGGAATTAGAATTAGGAATTTACAACATGAAGCATTTTAATATGCCTCATTCTGTACATAGAAGCCAAAGTCAGGTCTTCTGGATAGCTTATCATTGCCTGAGAGAGACCAATCGTTAATTTCTAAATAAATTTGAAAAATATAATACAAATGTCAGCAGTACAAATTCTCTTTTAATGAGTAAGAATAATTTTAGAGGCTGAAGATGTAGCTCAGTGGTAGAGGACTTAACTCACGTGTATGAGGCCTTGGGTTCAATCTCTAGCAATCCCTCCCCCACCAAAAAAAAGAAAACTTTCTGAAACCTGAACCCAACTTTGCAACTAGATCTCTGAGATACATAAGTATTTCATGCAAAATAAATGATAGTATGTATTGGACAGTATATTTTTTAAAAAATGAGAACGCAGACTTTCTATAAATATTTAATTTAGCTCAAGAACAGATTGCAGCAGGTGACTCAGATGCTCTATAAAAGATCTGATGTTACAGGAGCACAGAGACCTTGTCACAGGGAGAGCTTGCTCCATTGAGCTCAAGGCAAACAGTGGAATTGGGGTTGGGGTGTCCTGGGGATCTAACTTAGGCCCTTGGGCTTGTGAGGCAGGTGACAGAACCACTGAGCTATATCCCCGGCCCTGAGCTCAAGGACGAGGATGGAGTCTGGCCCCATAGCCAGTCCTGTCTACCTCCCAAGAGGAAGGGTAGTCATGGAGTCTTTGCCTTCCTTTAAATGCCACCTCAAAACATGGGCATTTTATTTTTTCTTTAATTTTCATGTGTTACCCAGAAGCCCTGGGTTCCCAGAAGTTTCAGTTGAGAATATCAAATTCTCGTCAGTAAATCTTTAGACGCTGTAATTTAAGCTAACACCAACCTTATGCAAGATGTATGATAAACCCTATGTATGTTACTAGAAGTTACTAGAAGTATGGTGTGAATGTGAAGGCACTGAAAGAGTGCTAGTTAATCTTGAGAAGGAAAATATAGTTTCTATATTGATTAGTCCTTATATTTACCTTTCATGAGTAAATTTTGTTTTTACAAGGAATATTTCACAGTTTTATCAAAGGGTCAAAGGTGATAGCAAATAATTAGCAATTGGAAGAAAATTGTGAGGAGGTGTACATAATAAGATTTTCAGAATTATGAATTCCACCTAGCATGTACCCACTGTCCGGCATCATAAAGATGATCCCAGCATATTAACTGATAAAAATATTTTCTCAAATATTATGCCTTTTTCAAAATCAGTTTCTAAAATTTTTCTAAAGGAAAATAAAGGAAATGTCTATTCAAATTAGCATCCTAAATGATGCATTCATTTATGCATTAAATGGTGCATTAACATAATTGTTTAGCTCACTGAAGCTGATGAACTCAGTTCTCTAGATTTGATCACCTGTGGGCTAAAGTCTCTGGCCACAGACGCCATCTGGGCCAAACATCTTAAAGGAGCACGCAACAGGTTTGTGCCAGGTGAAAGGTAGAAGTAGACCAGTGCAAATCCTTTATTGTTTCTTAGTGTGCTGACCAACGTCAAACTGTTTTTCAAATGGTTAAAGATACCATTTATTTTTCATTCACAGAGCCATTCATTTTGCAATTTTTATAGCCTTTCATCACTCAAGTTTTCATCACCAAATTCCTTCAAGTCATATGTCAGTTTTGAGTTAGTAGGTCTGCCTAAGCAGGTCTTTGATTCGTCACAATACTCAAAACAGTATTTAAATTGTTTAAGCAGATAATGGATCTAATAAAGCGCAGCAAGGCTTGTCATTAATCAAATGCATATACCTCCAGGTTGGCCACATTCGTGCGGAGCGTGACATTCTAGTGGAGGCAGACAGTTTGTGGGTTGTGAAAATGTTCTATAGTTTTCAGGATAAGCTAAACCTCTACCTAATCATGGAGTTCCTGCCTGGAGGTAATTACTTAACGATGAAAGGTCATTTTTCCTTTTTGTTCTGTGGTTTCTCTCTAACACATCAACAATTAACCCTTTCTACTTTTAATTGTGCTCACAAAGTTGCTTTCTGTATCTTTTTTAGGTCTGTAAAGGAAGTCAGTAACCTGTCTTGTGCTGGGGGTACCTTTCTTCAATCTTAGTAACCTTTTCATTCATTCTCATGATTTCAGAAGGACATTTCTTTCTCTTTTTCCTTTAAGATGTATAAGGATAAGCTAGGGAGCTCTGTTTGCCCTCCTGTCAGTGAGAATCATATATGGGTTATCCAAGTTACAAAATTGAAGCTATAACATTTTTTGCTATAAGTTTTACAATTTGTTTTTCTAACTTAGGAAATGAATTTCTCTTTACTTCTGTTAGAAGCCAGAATCAATTTCATATTTCCGAGATTTCAAGTTTTCCATACCCCTGCCTTTGCAGCTCCTAAGACAGCTCCAGAGTAAACCCAGAACAGAACATACTCTCTGTTCTGGGGAGCCGGGTCTGTTCTCAGTGAGCAAACTGCCAGCAGACTCAGGTGGAAAAACACAAAAGACAACTTGGTTCCCTTTTTAGTTTTAGCAAAGTGAATACAATTGTGATATAAAGTATTGATCTTGTGGCAACCCTCAGTTTGGATCCAAGGTCACCAACAGTATTTTGTTGTCGATTAATCAAGGTTAGAAATGAGTATGTCTAGTAGAATGAGGAGAAACTCTTGAACATTCAGATGCTAGTCCTTAAATAATAAAAGCTGGCTTGGTGTCACCAGCTCCTTGATGTGTGTCTCCTGTGTCATCTTCCGTAGCTTCTCCTGTGTGCTGGACCCTCCCCAGTGCACGGGTGGAGCTGGCCTGCAGAGCCATAGACCGTCTGGCTTGAACCCTCTGATGGTCTGGGGTGACCTTCACATAGGTGAGGGCCTGGCTGTGCTCCTGAGCCACCCCGCATGGGCCTGAGGGCACTGCCCCAGTCTCTGGTGCACCTCCAGCTCAGATGCTGCAGGGGAGGAGGCCTGTTTTTCAAGTCTTAGGCCAAAAAGAGCAGCTAATAAATGTTTTAATTTTTGCCTAAGGAAAATACTCACTTTTCTTCAAGAATACAAAAACTGTAGTTATGAAAGAAATGAAATTCAGAAAGTAGCATGTTGCTCTGTTAAATCAGAGGTTTCTTTTCCCTGTTTTCTAACATAAATAGCCTTATATGGAATTTAAACTGAAATCTTTCCTGTTTCTTACAATTTTAAACTATGTATATATATATTTTTTTTTTCTTTGTTTTTGTCTAATTGTTGAGTTTTAGGATTTGAATCTTTTTTCTGCTATTTTATGTTGTTGGTATTAAGCAGAAATAATTAAATTTTGATTGCAGAAAACTAAGGAGGTTACCATTTAACTACTAAAAACTGACACTTATAAGACATAAATGATATTGGCATATATCTAAATATCTGTAATAAAACACGATGGGAAACTCCCACTAATCTTGAGATGTGTACAATGTGCACTTTGGGAGTCATACATTCCAGTGTGTAGCATTTTCACCTTTTGTGGACTAATTCTTGGCTGCCTGAGTTCCACCTTTTCATTGATTGGTCTTCTAGTGTTTGTGAATAGAAGTAGGAAAGCTCGTTTTCAGCCTTCCTAGATAATTACATTTTTGTGTAGTGTGTCAGCTTCAGTAACCGGGCAGTACAACCTTTGTGGAAATGACATTTGCTTCTGGAAGTAGAGAATTTTGCTGATATTTGTACAAAATGAAAAGTAAAGTTGGTTTTTTTCCCAGTCTAAAAAATTATCCTAAGCAAATTTACTTTTTAATAAAAATAAGTGTAGGGGAAATTTCCTTTTTCTTTCAAAAGTCAAGTGGGAATCCCAGCATAGTGGTCAGTCACCTAGCTTTGGTATAAAAATGCTTTGCTTTTCTCTTGGTGGCTGTGATTTTTTACCCTTTAAATATTAGAAACTACCATTTGCCATTTTATCCCTATTGGCAATGTTGGTAAACTTGTGGAACACAGCAGAGTTTTATTTGGCTGCCAGATGTTGGCAGGTAGGGAAGAAATGCCTGAAAACGTGTACTTAATCCTGTCTTGTTTGTGTGTTATGTGTGTATGCACGGGTGTGTGTGTGTCTCTGTGGATGTATGGTGGTGGCTTTGTATCCTTTTGCTTTCAGGGGACATGATGACCTTGTTGATGAAAAAAGACACTCTGACAGAAGAAGAGACTCAATTTTACATAGCAGAAACCGTATTAGCCATCGACTCTATTCACCAACTCGGATTCATTCACAGAGACATCAAACCAGACAACCTTCTGTTGGACAGCAAGGTATCCATTGGGGTAGCAGCATGAACAGTGTGCTTGCTAATCTGAGCATGAGGGAGCTGTTATCTGCGTAATAGGTTTTCTTTTCTTTTCTTTTTTTTTAATTTATAATCAGGCAAGTTTATTGTTACTTCCTTTCTCTAAAAGGCTCGTGATTGTTTTATAGGACATTCATGAAAATATCCTAGAGCAAAATTGATTTAAAGTTTTTTTTGTTTGTTTGTTTCTTTTTTTGGTACCAGGGATTGAACGCAGGTCCTTGCACTCGTGAAGCAGGCAGCGGAACTACTGAGCTAAATCCCCGGCCCTAAGGGTTATTTTGTAATAGGCCAAAGGTAGTCATCTTTTCATAGCATATAATTAACTATACTGCAAATGAATCACCTATCCAAACCTTCTGTTGAGCATCCTCATCAACTAAGGAGGAACTCTGTCAAGAACCAGGAACAAAGGCAACAGCAAAAACAAAAACCTCCCACAAAGTCCAAGTTCCTGACCAGGTGCCCCCTACTGAGACTCTGAAGTGGCCTATTTATATTTTTCTTTAGGCATAAAAATAGGCTTAGTTCTTAAAGTCATAGTGAGTTACAATAGAACTCTTGTGGTACTCAATTTTGAATAAACTGGAAATCTCTTCAAATCTGGATCTTACTGTTCTTAACTAGACAGAGAGCATACTTATCTAGAGAACCTCTAAAGTATCTTTAGTGCTAACATTCTAGTATGTTACATAATGTGGAATTTTGGTTTTTTTGTTTTGTTGCTTGAGACAGAGTCTAGCTGTATAGTTCAGACTGCCCTTGAACTCACCATACAGCCCAGGCTGTCCTCGAACTTGAGGCTGTCCTCCTGCCTTGGCCTCCCAAGTGCTAAATTGGCATTTTTTTGGTTTTGGGGGTGTTTTTATTTTTCCCCTTGTACCGGGAATTGAACCTTATGCTTGTGAGGCAGGTGGCGGAACTACTCAGCTAAATCCCCAGCCCCATATTTTGCTTTTAAAACATTAATGCTATATAAGATCTTTTCAGTGCTATTAAGTTCACTTATAATTTAATAAGCACTGGCCTGCCTTGTATGGTTTGAAGTTCAGATGCCCAGGTACCTTAGTGCTGGCTTAGCTGTAGTCTAAATAGGTCCATGAAACACATCGAAGGCCAAGACTTTGGGAACCCAGTCTAGCTAAGAAGGAGTGAAGATCTGCCTTCTACAATATGCTCACTTAGAGAACCTCACTTAGACTTGTAGTAAAAGGTTCTCACAAGCAAGTCCATTTATGTGCTGAGCCTCATAAATTGTAGGTGTGAAAAATGCTGAGTTTCTTCTATGTACTCAGAATACCTGTAGAAGTCTCTGAAAGTCTAGGCTTGCATAATACTTGCCCTGGGCACTGCTTTTAGGACATCTCCTTTCCTAGGCAGAACATATAATCTTGAGAACTATAAATTAAATTTTGCTCCCTGGCTTGTAGGACAAGTTATTTGGAAATCAGAAAAAAAGATACCAAGTGGGCTCAAAGCTGCCTTCGTATAATGGTTTACCTTGCTGAGCCACACAAACACACACACAAATCCAGTAAGATTTCCTAAAAAAAATAAAACATAAAATCTGACCCATCTGAGCAGGTGTCCTTTGGCCTTATCCCCTGGAAAATTTGTGTTTAACCCCAAGAATGCCCCAGAAGTTGGCCAGAAGATAGTGGCTCCATGAAAAGACCACCTTGAAGTCATTGAGGATAAATCTTGGCCACTTCACGTTTTTTTTTTTTTTTTTTCTGGTACTGGGGATTTTGCTCAGGACCTTGCACTTGTGAGGCAGGCAGTGGAACCACTGAGGTAAATCCCCAGCCCCTTCATTTCTGATTGATCTTGAGCATATGTCTTCCCTGAGTACCGGAATTTCCTCTTCTGTTTTTCTTTCACTTCTTCCATGTACTTAAAATTCCACCACTGCAAGAATTCATGCTTCTTTCATAGTGCTGGTTATGTGCCAGCTGTTGTGCTAGGAACTGTGCATGCATTAATTCTCATTTCCCCATTTTCCAGATAAGAGAGATGTTGAAGAGGCGACTGTGTAGTAATATTATCCCCTTTGTCTTTGAAGTAGTTTACTCCTTAGAATTTATCCCAGTAGAATTCAAGAGGAGAAAAAGCTATATGAATGAGATTTGTTCATTTCCTCACAATTTTAACAACCATTTAATCAGGCCATCCTGTGTATCATGTACAGTTGGAATTGGGTTTATAGACCTCTCTCTCAAGTACTTATGATCCATGTTACATGAAAGCAAAGAATTGAAAGTGGAGTTAAGAATCCAGTTTGGTTAGATAAATAATAATGCACTAAAAGTCAGTTGACTGTTATGTAGACATTAAAAATGGTTATTTTGAAGACTGTGTAGAAACAAGAACAGTTGATTGTATTCATTAAAGTAGTAAAATTGTCTCTAGATGCTGTGGAGTGTTTATTAACTATGTTGAAAGGCCCATATTTGAACAAAATCCAAGATAATATTAAAAAATGAAAATCATTTTCATGTAGTAAGACTTAGGGTGCTCTAACATGTATTATTACACATTTTCCTCTGCAATAAAAGGAAAAGCCACTATCCTTTGTCTGTACAGATGCAGTGGATTGTGAAAGGAGCAGAAGACAGTGCTTTGCTCTGTATGCAGACGTTTTCATCCACTTGGCGCCTCTTTTCTCCTTTTCTGCAGGGCCACGTGAAGCTTTCTGACTTTGGCCTTTGCACAGGACTGAAGAAAGCACACAGGACAGAATTCTATAGGAATCTGAACCACAGCCTCCCCAGTGATTTCAGTGAGTGTTAGCAGTGATGTTAGTCTTGTGTTCCATGTCCTGTCAGTCATTTTATTCAGAACAGATAAAGGGTTTTCACAAAGTGAGTTTTTAGAGAAGAAAATCCTTCCCCAGCTTGCCTGTGATGTCTGTAGTCTGGTGAAGCCAGGTGAGTGCTCCCAAGTGTGTTAACGCTGATGTTGAAGGCCACTTCCCTCAGAGTGCTCCTAGAAGGTTGCTGTGGATGGATATGGGGCTGGCAAGCAAAAGTTGTAGAGGAAAAGCCCTGTAGAGGAACAGCTCCAGTCTAGGCTTATCCTAGGTCAGTGATGGCGAACCTTTCAGAGACCGAGTACCAAACTGCAACTGAAACCACACTTACCACAGAGTGCCAACACTGCAATTAAATCTGAATACGGAGGTTTCAGTTTAGAAAAAAAGACTCATACATTACCATCTTTTGTCTTAAAAACACTATAATATGAGTGCCATAGGCTCACCACCACTGTCCTAGGTACTTCTTGCTGTTTTGGTAGAAATTCGTCTTTATGAGGGCCGGGGATTTAGCTCAGTGGTGCCGCCGCCTGCCTCACAAGCGCAAGGACCCGTTTTCTATCCCCGGTACCAAAAAAACAAAACAAAGTTCATCTTTGTGAAGTTACTTCTACTTTAGCATTATCAAAGAGTTGATGACTATGTAATAAAAGCACAATTTATTCTGGAAAAGTTTATGCCAAATAATGTTGCCTAAGTTTAGAAGTCCTTGAATATGTACCAGTTGTTACTCTTAGAATTTTGATGATAATTTTGAGAAATTATGAATGTTTTAGGTCTGTTTGAGTACCTTTGCTTCTATGGAGACCAAATTCCCTGTAATTTTTACCTGTGTTCTCTGGCCATTTGCTGTTTTACAACTCTTACTGTGTAATTCTTGTTTTGCTTTGTTTTTTGGTACCGTGGATTGAACTTGGGCCCTTGTGCTTGCGAGGCAGGTGGCAGAACCACTGAGCTAAATCCTTGGGCCTTGCGTAATTCTTGTTAATGCTGGAGTCTCTGATTAGGGCTTTTAGAGTTACTGTCATCTGGAGTTTTTAGTGTATGGGGAGAAAAGGAAGACTTGAGTCACTTTCTTGTCCCTGGGATTCAATATCCAGCACTAACAAATTAAAGGAGAAGAGGTTTATTTTGGCTCACAATTTTTAGAGGTTTCAGTCCATGGTCGGCCAGCTCCAGGACAAAAGTGGTGTGGGCAAAGGACCTGCCCTGCTTCAGAGGAGAGCTGCTCCTGTCATAGTAGAGGGAAGCAGAGAGAGGAGAGAGCCAGGGAGGGAGCTTCCAGGTTATTACCCCAGGGATCTGGCACCCTCTGAGGGCAAGTCGGCTGTCGTGCCTGTTGGTCCCATCACCTTCCACAAGCCCGCCTCTGAATGTGTGAGGCTTTGGGGGGGTGGCATCTGCATAGAAACTGTAATGTAGGTTTCGTCTGACTTAAACCAGTACCCTTCAAGGCTGCAAATAGTCTCATCTGAACTTTGATTAGAACTTGTTTTCTCCACTTTCAGCTTTCCAGAACATGAATTCCAAAAGAAAAGCAGAAACTTGGAAAAGAAACAGACGTCAGCTAGTAAGTAGTATCTGTGGCTTCTGGAATGCTACAAACCAAGTATGAGTAAGTTCAGAAATAGGCACATAAATTTGCATGTAATACATATTTGCAGCATATCCTTGCTTGTAAGATTACCTTAAGAGAGCACTGTCATATTGGTAGCACCCAAAGGAATCTTTTGAAGGAGAGCGAGTAATAGTGGGTTGTTCTGATTATGACATTTTTAGTGAGTGACCTCGTTCTGATCTTTTAAGTTGGTAACTCAATACCTTTCCTTCCTGTTCCATCTTTCCTTGCTGAAGGGGTTATATTTAAGTTGGAAATTACGTTTTGATCCATTTCGTCACACTTGTGCAATTCATCAGCTCACCTTTTCTTTGTGGTTAAAAAAAGTACTTGGTAATCAAAATTATAGAGAAATATAAAGGAAACTTTTATTATTTTAAAAATAGTTGGGTATATACACATACAAAATTATCCCCTAAGCATAAAAATAAGTAGCTTTATTGAATTTAACTTGATAGTATGCTGGCAGTTATTTAGGTAGTATAATTTCACCAGTATGAAATGCTGCTGTGTAGGCAGAATTTATACTTAACAATATAGCTGATTACTAGGTTCCTTGATGAAGTAAAACATATGTCTGCCTATACAATAGTGCCTTTTAGGGTTCCAGTATGGTGTGTTTCAGCCAGACTACTTAGTACAGTATGAATTAGACTTCTCTACAGGACCTTTAATAACTAATTTAGTGGGTCACTAGTAAGTAAGGTAGAGATCACTCCTATGTGAAGATGGAAGCCTGTGGGATTAAGACAGAATCAAACCAGGCACGGTGGTATATACCTGCAATCCCGGCACTCAGGAGGCTGAGGCAGGAGTTTGAGGCAAACCTGAAATGCGTAGTGAGAACCTGTTGTGATTGAGAACCTGTTGTGATAGGAAAAAGAAAGGAAGGCGAGGCGGGGCGGGGAAGGGCTTGCATTGTTTTGATTAGTTAAAGCTTACCAGTGGAACCACGGGGGTTACAATTTCATGTTATGCCTTTGGAGATGCAGTAACCAAAATGAATCTCTGATGTCTTTATAATATTATATTAACTTGGGGATACTTAAGTTGAATACAGTTAATTTCAACAGAGAGACTCCTTTCCTCATGAGTTAGGCTACTCTTTAAACTTCTAAATTCTGTTTCTGGTTGAAAGTGTGTCTACAAACTTTATTGAGGAGAGTAGGGAGTGTCGGGAGCAGATCGGCTCACACTCCTGCTATGTCCTTCCATAGCATGGTGATTCTTTTTTTTTTTTTAGTTTTTTGAGACAGGGTCTCACTGTGTAGTTGAGACTGACCTGGAACTCACGATGTAGCCCAGGCTGGTCTCGAACTCCCAGCCATCCTCCTGCCTCAGCCTCCCGAGTGCTGGGATTACAGGCATGTGCCACCACGCCTGGCTTGTGTGGTGATTTTTTATCATGGCTGCATATTTGAATCACTTCAGGAACCTCAGAACATACTGATGTCTGGCTCCCGCCTGAAGAGGTTCTGAGGTGGTTGGTCTGTGGTATTTGGGTATTCTGAGGTTTAAAAGACTCAAGGTGATTCTACTGTACAGTAAATGTTTCTTATCTGCCCCTGAAAAGACTGTCTTATAGTTCCTGCCCTGTTGGGAAACTGAAATTTAACCCTAAAATACGTTGGAAGCTACCAAATGGTAAGGAGCCTTTTACAAAAGGTTTTGATGGTGCTGGATATTGAACCCAGGGCCTCATACCTGCTAGACAGGTCAAAATTTAGTTTTTGGTCACAATGCTAACATCTATTTTTTAGCATTTTAAATCGTCCTTGTACTCTTGAGTCAAACTGAGCTTCTTGATGTGCACCAGAGGGTCACATCAGCATCACTAGGAACCATTAATCATTCTGTAAGAGATTTTGCAATTTCCATATTTGGAGTTATATGTCATTTTAAAATATTTTTGAAATTTTAATAAATTTAAGGCCCTGGTGCAGTGATTAAGGTTCTTGCCTTTTGTGTTCACAATAGAAATGGGAGAGTATAAATTAAGGTCATCCTCCTGATAATCTCTCTCTATAACTTGGAGAAAATAAAGCCACCCTTTAGTCTTCTGAATGTTACTCTCTTTGACTTTTGTGCGTGAACCCATTGGCCAGTACCAGGCTGAAGGTTGATACTAGTCTATGCTTAGTGTAAATGTCATGCTCTAGGTGAGCCTAATCAGCGATATGTAATTACTTCCCCAGACTGTTGATTTTTAGTCCTTTGGGAGTCACTGAAAAAAGCAGAGGCTTTAGGTTTGCTCTTTGACTGCTTAGATTGTAGAGTCATATTTTAAATTGAGATGTGGTCATGGGAAGCCTTAGTCCCTGGTACCTAATTAAGTAATAGGTATGAGTCAGTTGAAGTTAAACCACAGAGGTAAGAGGTGGTGTATGTGATCTTGTCAGTTTTTTCTTAAGGAAGAATTTATGGACATGAGTAATAGGAAATGAAGTCACTTTTTATTTCCTAAGATTTAGAACACACTATGTGATTGACACGACTGTTTAGAGCCAGTGGAGTTCTTCTAGATTGCAGCTCTCACCACCACCCTAAATACTCAGACAACAAAACAAAGATGGGTGTAGATGTAAGAGGCTGGAGTTGGAGGCATCTCAGTGTGGAAAAAGACAGAGGTTTGGGAGGGAGGTGGTCCCTAGAATGAGAAGGCTCTGTCTCATGTGAACACTGCGGATAGTTCCAGAGTGAGAGCATCAATCCTAAACTTCACAGGTTTAAAACCTTTGGTTGGCTGTATTTTTTGTTTGTTTTGTTTGTACATGTTTGCAGTATATAATGTTTCATTCCTTGGGTGAAGTTGGTACATGTACATCCGTGAATTTTTTTTAACATATTAGTATCTTGAAGGAATTGTTTTCTTGTGGCAATAGAGCTCTAGTTGTATAATCTTTGATCAAGTAAGATTTTCTTAATATTTATCTTTGCTAGAATAAATTAATCTAAATTAAAGAGTATCTATAGTTTTCTTCCTTTATGATTAGAATGAAGATATTTCTGATTTAGGAAGAGAGCCCAGTCTGGTTCAGACTTTAAAGCATTTTTTTGGAGGGGGCCGTGATCGAACTCAGGTCCTTGCGCTTGTGAGGCAGGAACCACTGAGTTAAATCCCTGGCCCCAGACTTTAATGCTTAAAAGACACAGAAGAAACAAAAACTTAAAACCTATGAGCATTTGTTTTATTCAGTATTTGTACTTTAAAAGATAACATTATCCGTATAAAAATGGATCTCTATTTTCACTACATAAAAATCAATGCTGGATGAAAAATAAAACTTGAACAAGAAAATACAAGGCAATATCTTTATGGACCTTAGAGCAAAGTAAGATTTCTTAAATTAGATACAAGTAAGTACAAATCGTAAAGGAAATTTTCTACTTCTTTTAGTACTTTAAAGGGCAAAAAGTCTCTATATCAAGACATACACAAGTGAAAAGCCAAATCAAAAACAAAAGCCCTGCAGTTCTACCCTTGGGAGAACCCCGGGTGCATGCACAGGAGACGTGGAAAAGCACATTTTCTTGAAAAGCAAAACAGTGAAAATAACCCAGAACCATCCACAGGAAAATGGTTACATTCTGGAATAGGATATTTGACAGCAGTGGAAATGATTGATTACTACAGGTAATAGTGTGGATCGTAGAAACAAGATTAAGAGGAAAAATCAAATAACAAAAGCCTGCATACAGAATGATACTATTTTATAAAGCTCAAAAACAAAACTAAATAAGATCTCATTTAGAGAGATGTGGAAAAATTGACTTCGTGATGAAAAATGGAAATGTTAAATAGGAACTCAGCATAGTGATAAGGTTTAGGCAGGGGTGGTTTGGGGGAGAAATGCAGGTTTAATACTAATGATAATGGCAATTTTATTCTTTGGTTGAACTCACAGGTATTCATTTCATTCTTATGCTTCATTAATTTGATAATTATACATAAATATATGACAGATTTTTGGTATGTGACAAATACAACTTCATTTCAGAAACCATAAAAATAAAATGCCCCAAACTGGAAGAAGATACTTGTAATATGTAAAATATAAAGATTATTGTCCTGAATTCATAAAGAGTTCCTATGAATCAATAAAAAAGGGAACAGAACTTAAAAAAAGTCAAAACATTTGAAAAGAAATTCACAGGACAAAAAAAGACTAGGATGGTTAATTATCATTTGAATATGTGTTCAGTCTTACTAGAAATAAGGGAAATGCAAATTAAAATCTTACTTGATTTTCATCAAGTTGATAAAAATTTAAGAGTCTGACCAAGCCAAGGGTTGGTGAGAAGCAGAACACTAGGAGCGTCTCCCCACTGGGCTGGTTCCAGGAAGAATAACCACTGCGGCGGACACTTGGAAAATGGCTCATTGTCAAGATGCTTATGCGCCAAGGCCAGCAGTCCTGCTGCAGCTACTGTCTCCACATGCGCCCCAGATTCCTGCACGGCACTTGTCCTAGTGAGGCTGTGGAAGCAACCCTAAGTGGTTCTTTATAGAAGTATGGATAGAAAAAATTGTGGTTTAACAATTGTGAGTGAACAAGAGCCAATAAATAAATCTCAAAACCATAGTGTTGAGTAAAACAAAAAAATGACATTGAAGCGTGATGCAGTGTAGTATGAAACCCTTTATTAAATGTTTACATATACAAAAGTCATACATAGTTGATGAGCAGATTCACACAAGAGAGGAGGAATATTTAAGGCAGAGCTTTGTTTGTATGACTTCACTTCTTTTAGAAAAGACAAATGATTGGGCTGGGGGTTTAGCCCAGTGGTTCTGCTGCCTGTTTCGTAAGCACAAGGTCCCGAATTCCATCCCCGGTACCAAACAAACAAAAAACAACAGGGCTGGAGATCTAGCTCAGTGGTGCCAGCACCTACCTGCCTGGCAAGCACAAGGTCCTGAGTTCAATCCCTGATCCCCCCCCAAAAAAAGGCCAAAAAAGAACGACAAAAAAGACAAATGATTAAGACAGATACAACATTATTAACCTCTAATGTGGGATGGTATATGTGTGTTGCATCGAGGGCTTTAGTTTTGCTGAGTGTAATATTTTCTTTTTTTTTTAATTGAGCTTATTGGTACCTTTTAGGTATACAGTACAGTTACATTCATTATTGGGATCTTGTGCATGACAGGTCTTGGTTCTCATTTTTTCCCCTTGTCCCTGCCCTCCCTTCTCCCCCTCCTCCCCTCCCTTCCCATTTACAAACACTTTATTTCCATTTTTTTCATTTTCTCATATTATTTTCTAATAAATATTTTTAAAAACAGCTGAAATTTTTATTTTTATAGACTATTTAAAGCATCTATAATAGAGCCTCACACGGTAAACCCTCAAATGTTTTGCACATTGGACTGTATTTTCTCCTAGAATTTTGCAGTTCTGGTATATTAGAGTAGAATTCTGAAATTTAGAAATTCTTCATTAGTAACCATTTACAGAAATAAGTGAGTTTGGTAAATAGGTACAAGCATTTGGCCTATAGGATATAACTTTAGCTTTTAATAATAAATCTCTATATGATTTTCTCAAGCCAAAAAAATATATATGTTGGAAAGGGGGATTATTTGGAGCAAGATATTTAATTTCCAAAGAACTCTGCCATTTAACTACTTGAGGCCTTGGGCAAAGCCATTTGAAATGTCAAAAATTTTATTATCTGCAACATTGTACTCAGAAGGTCCTTCCTGTAGAAGTTTTGTCAGAATTGAATAGCTTTATATAAACACAAGGAAGTACAGAGAGAGCTTGGTTCTTAAGGGGCGCGCTCGGTAAAACATGGTGCTGGTTGCGATAAGATACCTTTGACCTAGTGAATTAAGACCTTTGGATATATTTAGGAAGGGTCTTTGAGCTCATTAACAAGGCTGTATTGTTCGTTTTGATAAATGCTATGGCAAATCAATCTTGCCTTAAACCAGTGGCCATCCTGCTTATTTAGTTTGGGGGTGGCTCCTGGTGGTGCTTATAGACTAGAACTCGGCACCACGCTGCCTGGCTGGGCCTCCCTGACGTGTGGTACATGTTTCAGGCCTTCTCCACAGTAGGCACTCCTGACTACATTGCTCCCGAGGTGTTCATGCAGACCGGGTACAACAAGCTCTGTGATTGGTGGTCGCTTGGGGTGATCATGTATGAGATGCTCATCGGTAAGTTGCATGTTCCAGAGGACTTTCTGTGTGCATCTAGGAGAGACTTCTACGTTGACATTGGGCTGTTTCAGTTTAGGGCGAGCTAGGTGCTTTTCCCCGCTTGTCTTTCTTTCCAAGTGAAGTGTTCTAGACCGTGTCGGCTGTATCCCACTCTACATGACTTCTTGGTATCCCACGGTTCCTTTTTGATTGTTCATTATGTTGTTCTTCTGTGCTTTTACCCTCTTCATGCAGTAGTTCTTTCAGTCACTAGTACTTACTAAACATCTCTTGTCTAATGGGTGATCAGAAGCTGTAGTGACTATTAAAGTTTTACATTTTATTATATTGCCATTAATTCCTCTCAAAATATTGCTCCCCTCACTTCAAACATTTCATCATTCTTGCCGTTTCCAGAGCCAGTTCCGGAAGTTCTTTCATGAATGTCTTTAGCATGTGTGATCACAAATACGGTGAAAGCAGCTGTGTAGTGCTGTCCAGCAGAAAGGCAGGCTCATGCGGACATCGGGGAATGTCCTTATCCACCTTAGTCACTGGATCTGCCTCTTCTCCAAATTCTAAACAGCTATGAAAGGAAGACAATTTACAATTGATCCAGCACATTAGGGCTGCCAGGGGCATAACTAGAGACACTCACGGAAAAAGATTTCCAGAACTGCTTCAGAAAGTGGCAAGGATGGGATGAGTGTGTTAGAAGTGAGGGGAGTCTCGAGAGAGACTAATGTGGCCGTCTGACTGTAACAAATTCATTTAAACTCATGCGCAGAAAGCTCGGGTAGGGCCTCCCTCACGTTTTACGTGTTAATTCACTGTCCCCTTCCTCTCAAAGCCTCTGAAGCATGGGACCTCTTCCTGTTTGAGGGAGGCCTCTCCCTCCTATTTGAGTGGTGTCTCTGTATTTAGGGGACACACCTCTGGGGTGGCCATGTGTCGTTGGACACTAGGAGAATGAGTCTGTGGACAGCTGGGCATGGAGCCTTCAGCCGCCCTTTCTTTGGGATCATTGGATGGAGGCCTGTGGAGGTGGATGGGCTTGCTGGGCGTGTGAGTGAGGCATGGATGGGCTGGGGATTTAGCTCAGTGACACCATGTCTGCCTCACAAGCACAAGGTGCTGAGTTCAAATCCGCAATACCAAAAGAAAAAAAAAGGCATGGCAGCGTTCACTTTTGAAACCCACTTATGCTTTTATTCAGCTTGTTTGGCACATTTGCCAAATAGGATTTTCCTAGAGTGGAGTCATTTTATAATTGTATTGTTTCATCCTTTGATTTCTTCTTTGGGCATGGGGAATCCCATACCTGCATTTCTACTTATGTCCTCTTTTCTTTTCCCAGCACCAGCTGTTACTGTCTTCCTAGTGGCACCAGAGGAACAATTTCATTTTGGGCTTAGGAGTTTGGGGAAACATGAAAAATGGCTTAGATATTTTCTTGGATGAGTGGAAATCCTGTCTGGGTCATGTAGGAACGCCCATACAGAGGTATCAAGTAGTCATTGAAGACATGTACAGCTGTGTTAAGGACAGTAACCTCGATTCAGAGTTCTGGGGTGTAAAAACTCCGAAGTTCCTCTTTTATTACAGGCTACCCACCTTTCTGTTCTGAGACCCCTCAAGAGACATATAAGAAGGTGATGAACTGGAAAGAAACTTTGACTTTTCCTCCAGAAGTTCCCATCTCTGAGAAAGCCAAGGATCTAATTCTGAGGTATCAGAAACTGTCCCCCCACCTACTGCTCTGGGTTTATGATATGAATTCTTTGAAAAATTTTTATAATCTCCTGATTTTGTATCTTGCTTCCTCTTATTCTTCTCTTAGGAGAAAAAAAAAAGAGAGAGAGAGAGAGGAAGAGATCATTCTTTTTTTTCTTAAGAAACTATTTGAGGTGTGCTGAAAGGCATGTGTCTTTTCCAGATTCTGCTGTGAATGGGAACATAGAATTGGAGCCCCTGGAGTTGAGGAAATCAAAAGTAATGCTTTTTTTGAAGGTGTTGACTGGGAGCATATCAGGTATACCATATAAAAATATTCAGAATTATTTCAGAAAGTCTTTGGTAGCTTAGTGCTAATTTGGAACCACCATCGTTGGTAAGCTAAAAAAAGAAAAGCAAGAGAGCTTCTTAGAAATGTGGGGTCTTTTCTGGATGTTCACTCGTGCTGAAGGCTGGGAGTCAGGCTTCCTCCTAGCCGTGGGCCACAGGATACACGGCATCCCGCAGTGCTTAAAGCGAAGGACCCCTGGATTCCACGGTGAATGGGCACCTAGGCAGTGCGCTGTCTGCTCTTGCCTTAGCTCTCTAGCATTGAGGGCCACCAGTGGGATTGTCCTTGAACACAGGGAGAAGCTGTTACTGGGAGACATGAGTGGAAGAACGCAGCGGGTGTGCGGAAGGAGGTGGAGCAGGGAAGATCGCTCGGGGGTTGGCGCAGTGTAGCCATTGGCCGTGAGAGCCTGGCCCATCCGCCGTGGTCTTAGACCCTCTTACCTAGCACTCATTGGTTGCTAGACACCAGTGAGGAAGTTGTCATTGCATTTTATAGTATGTTCTGATTTGCATCCTTGTGATTTTTACCTTTGCCACCTCTTTTTTTCAGCCTTACTCTTTGGTATCTCCAGTGGAAGAGGAGTAGAGTCTTAGTGAGGGACACTTAGAGGTTCAGTTTCCTCTTTTAGGAGATAGGGCAGGTTATCAGGGGGTTTTGTTTTCTTTTTCGATTTTTAATTTTTTGGTACTGGAGATTGAACTCAGGACTTTGCGCTCGCCAGGCAGGTGGTGGTACTAGTGAGCTAAATCCTCAGCCCTTTGATTTTTAGTTTTTATTAGTACATGTTTGCAGTACATAATAATTACATTCCTCATGGGGATTGGTACATTAACATGACAACATCTTAAATTTTTTTTTCATCACAGGGATATTTTAGTTCCCCCTCATTATTCCTTTCTTTCTAGCTATAGATAATTGAATTACTGATATTTGAAATCATAATTAATTTGGGTTTTTTTGGGTACTGGGAATCGAACTCTGGTCCTTGTGCTTGGGAAGCAGGCGGTGGAACCACGGAGCTAAATCCCCGGCCCCCATGATTAATTTATTGAGTGTAGTCAGTTGGCTTGGTTGGTCAGCATTCACAACCTTTTTTTAATTTTCAAGAGAAAATAAGTGCTCCCTGCCAGTGAATAATCTTCCCGTGTCAGACCACAGCATCTTGTTGGAGAAAGACGTGACTAGTGTGAGCTGTACGAGTACTAACCATAGTAATTTCTGGCATGTCTGTTGGCAGAGAGAGACCTGCTGTGATATCTATTGAAATCAAAAGCATTGATGATACTTCAAACTTCGATGAGTTCCCAGAGTCTGATATTCTTAAGCCAACAGGTAATTCCAGTTCCACCAGCCTTGCCTCTGCTACCCCCATCTTTGGGAATGAGGTTCACAAATGAGGGTGGAGAACTGAAGAGGAACTCCAATTCTCTAAGTTCTTTGTATTTTTCTAGTACTAATACTGGGTAGCAGTGAGACCTTGTTTCAAACTGCCATGTTCAGACTACTCAGCTAGGTGAGTTAAGTCACAAAAACCTGTTCTTTAAAGTTTAAGGTTAGGTAAACTGAAATGACAGAAGTGCAAAAATAAAACTTTAAAAATATTTATCCAAAACTATAATTGTCAAAGAACACAGGCAAATGAATATAGAAAAGTCACACACAGAGTAAAAAAAAAAAAAAATCCCCTTTTCCAAATACAAACCGGTGCGCTCTTCAGATGTTTATGTCTCTGACACTGAATGGTCCATGGGGTGAGGCAGCGAATCGCTCTCACATCTATTTCTTTCCCAGTGGTCACAAGTAACCACCCTGAGACTGACTACAAGAACAAAGACTGGGTCTTCATCAATTACACGTACAAGCGCTTCGAGGGCCTGACTGCCAGGGGGGCGATACCTTCCTACATGAAAGCAGCAAAATAGAACCCTTGACATGGGGCCCTAAATGGAGTGAGGTCTTTGTACAACATCTTGCTTTTCTTCCACACTCTTGAAAGAGCCTCCAAGAAATTCATGGCACCCATTAACATCAGAGTCGTCTCCTGAAATGTGATACTACGTGGATTTTCCTCCGTCCCGGATCTGAAAACCGCTATAACAGTGACAACCATTTCTACTACATCAGCCGTAAAAGCTGTCTTGCTTCTTTAGAAGCATCATGAGCCAATTTGATAGTTGTTTTTAAAAAGAATTTGAATTTTCCTAAGTTCATCAGAATGAAGGGGAAAAACAGCCATCGTCCAACCTTACTGAGCTCGTAACACGTACTCACTGAGATCAGCCAATCTTGTGACACAGTAACGTGCTGTCTGCCAAGCCCACCAAGTATTTCTTTTTCCTTTTGTATAGTTAAAGGTTCCACAGTACTAAGGAAGAAAAGCAATAATGAAAGTCTCAGCAGCCAGCATCCTGGCTGAAGGGAATTATCAGCCATCCCTGGGGCGGTGATGGTCGTTTTTCCCCATACCTCTGCTTGGGCAAGCGGCTTTTCACAGCCCCCATTCATGGTGCACTTTATTTATGGTATAAGGTACAGAACCTCAGCCCACTGCTCACCTTTCCTGCTGCTCTTCTGAGTGTCGATGGGCAACACCAGTTCTACAGGCCGCGGAAAGCCACTGGGCATTGCCAAGGGTCTGGATCGTGTGCAAACACTCACCTTCTCCACAGCTGTATCAGAAGACCCCTAAGACAGTGGTTGCTGTGGAGCAGCAGTACCTGCCTGTGCTGCCCACAGGAACGCAGCTGATTCCTGGGAACACACCAAGGAGCCCAGCCAGAAGCAGGGGTTTTGGACGCCCCTTGGCTAATGTGCTGCTGCAGCAGGATCCCCAGGCCATCTGGAATGGTACGGGGAGAGGCCCTTGAGCCTTCACAGCCAGCACACAAGTCCTGTAAAGTCACTCCTTGATCTCTGGACAGCCGTGTTTTATCTCCTCTCTTGGTATCTCTCCTCTCCAAACTTTGAGTAGCCATTTTGCCTTGGAATCATGATTACAAATTTTTCCTTTGCAGATGCCTTCTTGGGGAAGTCCCTTGCCCCTGCCTAGTTGCCTGAAGCTTGTGCTCACCAGGCTTCTCCACAGTGGCGTTCTCCCATGAGACCTTCTGAAGTTTAGCACAAGTGCCTTCTCTGTCACAGCTGCCGCCACCTTCAGGGGACTTTGGCTGCGTCAGAAAAATGTGGAGGTTCCATATTAATGCATTATTCGTTTTTTGGTTTTAAGCTTTGAAAGCTCTTAAGGCATCATTTGCACCCGTGTGGGAACTGCCTGTGGCCGAGTATCATGGCCAGGCCACACTAGGGGGCTGATTCCGGTTAGTCTTGAGGTTGTGGTGCTCAGCTTTGAAGGGAAAGCAAGCCCCAGCTTAGCCATCAGGAAAACAGTACCAGTTACAGTTAGAAGTGGAACTGCTTTGCATTTTAGGGTCTCAGAGGAAAAAGAATGTTAGGAGAACTCTTAACTGGATGAAGGCAATGTTTGCCCTTAATCTGTCATTCATAGCCCACCAGTGAAAGGGAAATGAGATTTTTGTGTTACCTTCATAATCTTTGTATTACCAAATAGGTGGGGTCCTGACCCCAGTGTGTTTTGCAAGAGTGTGGTAAGCATGAGTAGAGAGAAGTAACAGGAGTAGTGGTCGTGACTGCTGGGGAGTGGCAGGGGTGATTTAAGGGGAAAATGCCCACATTTTAACTTGTAAATTTCTGAATAAACTGTGTGAAAACAGTGGAAATCTGTGACATGTTTTAAAGCAGAATACTGGTGGCTTCTCAGCACACTGACTGCACACGCGACATCTTTTGCAGGGTACGGTCCTGTCAGGGAAGCTGGGTCCAGCCTTCGCCCTCTACATTTCTCCCCCTTTGGCTTCAAAGACCCTTTGACCTTACCTACCTGGATCCCTCCCTAGAACTCTAGATCCCTTGGCTAAGTGCCTACCAGAAAACTGCCTGGAAGCCCTTAGAGCACAGCTATCCAGCGTTCTTATTCCCAAGGGCTTTTTTTTTTTTAGCCCACACAGAATCCAAGCCAGTAACTCATCCTTCATACCTACAGGGACCTTGATGACTTCAGGGCCCCACCGTCCATGCTGCCATGGTCTCTGCATTAGACTGTCATCCACTGCAGGGATCTGCTCCTCCTCCTTTCAGTTATGTCCTCCTGTGCTCCAGAGAAATTCTGTATTTCAAGTTGGGCCCACTTTCTGCATAAAACCCTTTGGGGCCCCCAGTGGTGTAGAGTCCAGACATCTTTGAGCCGGGGTCCTTGCTCACTCTGCCCGTCTGCACCACCCCATCCTCCCCAGCTACCTCAGCTCACGTGTGTTGGCCACAACCACCTTCCCTCGGCCCAGCACTGGTTCACATGTGGCTTCTGGAAGCTCTACCCAGTAGAAAGTAGCTCCTCCATTCTTTTGGGCTTCCGATGACCTGGCCTGTTCATTTCTGTCTGCTCCACCTGATTATCGAAGCTCGAAGGGAGCAGCTCTCAGTGTATAGCTGTGCTTGAGAATACTCAGCAGAGGACGCTTAACCGCCGTGTGACTCCAGGTCATGTTCCTCACACCAGGCAAGCGCTGAGCTGCAGTCCCATCACATGTAGGGATTCTGAGATGAGGTCTTTTTGGTGGGGGTGGGTACCGGGGATTGAACTCGGGTCCTTGCGCTTGCAAGGCAGGCCACTGAACCGCTGAGCTAAATCCCCGGCCCTGAGATGAGGTCTTGAGAAGTTACTCAGGCCGGTCTTGAACGTGTGATCCTCTCTGCTCTTGAGGAGTAGTGATTGTGTCCCCCTGTGCCTGGACCAGGTTCTTGAATGTAAACTACGCAGGGACCCAAGTGAAGGCAGACCATTAGGGCTCTGGGCCCTGTGAGTTAGCAAACTGGGAGGAAGCGCAGCCTGATGGGAGGCCCCAGGAAGAGGCTCTGCTCTCCGAGGCGCCACCCTTTCAAGTCCATTGGTGAGTTGCTTTGCATTTTATTTCTTGCTTTCCAAAAAAAGCAACACACACACAAATGATAATATTTTATTATACAAAAAAGCATCCCAAATGTAGGATTTCGTAAACACTGGTAGGTGAACAAGTGCAACTTTAAAAGTAAATACAAGGTAAAGAGGCAACACCTAACAAGTACTTTGCCTGCAGAAGACGCGGCTCCTTCAGCAAAGGTGATCCCATCCCAAACGCGGCGCTGTCAGTCCGTCCCCACCAAGGTATCAGTTTGCTTTCTGAGCTGTGTCCACTTTAACAGGTTCCAAGATGGCAAGAAGTGGCATTGAATGCTTACTACACAGTCTGGATTTTTAAAAAGATTTCATGACATTGATGACAGTCAAGCCTGTGCTCTGAATACTTAAAGAGGGACCCATTGGAACACTAGCCGACACCTGCCTCACAAGTGCAAGATCCTGAGTTTGATCCCGGGTATCAAAAAACAAACAAATAAAACAAAACAAACCACTAACTGAAAAGACACCTATCCTCACCGGGCTTATGCGACGGTACTTTCATAGATCTGTGATTTCGTTGTTTTGGCACCAGGAATCGAACTCTGGACCTTGCACTTGCCAGGCAGATGCAGTGTCAGAGCTACATCCTGGCTCTCTACACCTGTATACATTAGATAACATCCTGTCCTTAAGATTCAGATTAAAATAATTTTGGCCACCATATACTGTGCAAGAAATCCAGCTACTTCCTATCTTATCCTTTTTGCTGTCATTCCTTCAATACCTTTCTTCCACTTTGGAGAAACCATCAAATAATGTGACTTTTTTTTGTTTGTTTGTTTTTTGAGACAGGGTCTCACTGCATAGTTGAGACTGACCTGGAACTCACTACGTAGCCCAGGCTGGTCTCGAACTCACAGCGATCCTCCTGCCTCAGCTTCCCGAGTGCTGGGATTACAGGCGTGCGCCACCATGCCCGGCAATAATGTGACATTTTAACACTGTCTTTTTGTGCCCTCAATGGCTAATGCTCCTAGACAACTCTAAACCTTAAAGTCTGGTTCATCTTGGCTTGCTGAGAAGCTCTAAGATACTCTGGGTAAAACCATTTCTTACAAAAATGTACAAACAGCCTGGCTTACTTAATTAGGCACTTAGAAGAGACACCCAACACAAGTTCCAGCTTTTGCCTATCTGGCCAGCAACTGACTGAAGGGTTGACTGCAGCCCCCGGCCCGCATCCCTGCAGGGACGGAGGGGCCACCGAGTTACGGCGATGCTGAGGTCTAGGCAGCAGTGGGGGGAGGGGTACAGAAGAAGCTGCTCTCTGCCAGAAGGAACCTGTGGTCCCCTTTCGTTTAGTCGCCACTGCTTGATGACACCTGCAGATTAACCCGAGTTCCTTGTCCTCAGACTGTACTGGTTGGGGCCAAAAGCGTGTTAACGTAGAATGCGGGGGGGGGGGGGAAGACACCTAGTTCTTAAAAGCCCAAGAAAAATAATCAGTTACACAAAATAGAGTGTCAGGTACATCTCCAACTTTCCTAACTTTGTACCTAAGCAAGAACTAAAGTGTTCGCTGTGGCACGTTCACGCTTAAACGAGAAGTTACCTCACACCGGGTGACTCAAATTTCCTCCGCGAGGGCAGGGTGTGAAGGAAGCACCTGGGCAGGTGAGCTGCTAGTGGGTATGGACCTGCTTCTGGGAAGGCCAAAGCTAGGCCTGACCTCAAATAACCCTCACCCCTACCCTGCCATCAGCCCCACAAACAGACCCAGTGGTGATCAGAACGCTAGGTGACATATGGCTCCGTTTTGACTGCTGTTTTTTCCCAGTGAGGAACACAGCCCTGATCTCCAGTACCAGAAAACAAAACAGAACACATTCTTAAGCCGTGGGCAGTGGCTCCGGCCTGTGACCCCAGCACTTGGGAGGTGGAGGCAGAACAGCCATGAGCTGGAGTCGAAAAGAAAACATTTATCCCTCAGGCCAGGCGGAAAGGGGGCTCTCAACACCCTGCTTTGATTTTGGAGGAAATCAAGTAGCCTGCCCTACAGCATCTTATGGGAAAGGAATTTAAGAAAACTCATGGTGTTCCTGAAGAACTGGGAGGAAACTGTGCCCGATCACAATCTACGGTGGGTAAACGCCGAGAAGGGCAACTCTGACCAGAAGCGGGACACGCTCTCCCAACACCGTTTGGTTCTGGAACTAAATTTTGCTCTGCTGCTACCAACCAGAGCTGTCAGAGGGTGGGGTCCGGGGAGACTGACCTGGCCTGTCCTCCACCGTGCGGTGTTAACAGCTGACAGCAGCCAGGCAACACCTGGACCTTCAACGCGCCCTTCCTTTGGGGACCACACCACCGTTTTCTTACCCAGTGAGTAGTTACTAGGATATTTTAAAAATAAAAATGTACTGATACCTCCGAGAAACTCCCCAGTATGAGAACCTGTTTTGAGAAATCCTGCCCTGGGACAGCCTGCTGGTGACGTCTCCCAGCCAGCCTCACTCCAAATGCCCTCTCAGGTGCTCTTAGCAATCTGAGACGCTGGCACCGGTGAGGAACCTCTCCGCTCTCCCCTGCACACACCCACACCCTCGCACTGTGCTGCCCCGGACGCCCGGCCAGGAGAACGCACTCAGCCTGCTCCGGAGAAGCCCTGGACTCGACTCTTTCCCAATCAGTCAGCAATTTAAGTTCCTACACCTTGAGCTAAAAAGGTTTCGGGAACATCATTAAGTCATTCTTCCTGCCAAAGAACTTGTCTTGTGTGGTTTTGGATTGTTCACTGCATTAATGAGGAAATAATTTCAGCTCTTAGGAATTTCCTTTTGGGATTTCGAGTGAGCCTGTTCTCTCTAGATGTAGTCTGGGTGCAGAGGCCCCAGGAATGGGATTCCATTAACCTCTGAGCATCTCGGTGCCAGCTTTCAGAAGACAGAGATTGTCTCTCTTTGCCTTTGGTCCCTTTGCTGCTTCCTATGCATGTGCCTGATCTAAGACAAAACAAACGCAACCACAGAGCGGAAAGGATGAGGGCTGCCTTGCTAACTATGAGGCAACAGGAGTCTTGACTTCCTTTCCGGCCTTTGCAGTTATCCAACTCGGTGACAGCACCAGACCCCAATTCTTCATGCCGCCAGGGCTGCTGCAGAGCTGGTAGCCAGCTCACCAGGGCGCTTCTTCATCCCCTGCCAGAGTCGCAGACTTACAGAGGGGGACGCACGTTAATTACGAGAAGGCCAGAGGTAGGGGAGGCGCGGGTCAGGGTGACACAACCACGGGGAGGATGGGAGCCTGGCCCCGGGGAGGGTGGACCCGTGACTGCCCTAATCCTGGAAGTCATTAGAAACCATGGGGACAAGGGGGGCATTGAGCCGGTCGAGTTCGTCCACTTGCGGTGGGTGGTGCATGAGGACCTCCGGGTCCTCCACGACGTCCTCACTGGCACCTACCAGGTTTGTGAGGGACCTGCTGCGAACACACTGGAAATCCACATGTCGACTCTTTCCTTCTTCTTTTTCCCATGACATCTGGATAAAGGGACGCTGCACATAATTATAGATAACTTCAGACCGCCCACCAGGTCTTCTCTTTATTTTTTCTTTACAGGTAGGGTAACCTGAAACAGAAAAAGGTCATTTTCACGATACTGCCAAATTGTGCTCACTCTGCATCCCTATTTTCTCCTTAGACAAGAAAATGGTCCTTGCCCAGCGCCCTCCTGGCCCTCAGATTAGTGGGGCTCATTCCTAGAAGGGACTAATCTAAGAGAAAACATGAAGTCTGTCTCTTCCGAGGGAGGGGAGGGAAGAACGCGCCTACTCTGTCCTCTCTGTGCGGGCGTTTGGAGGGCACACTGTGCAGGACGGTTGTGGAAAGGCAGAATGGTAACCTAAAGGGGAAACAGGATGTTAACCCAAAGTCAAACACCAAAGAGCCTGCCACAGAGAACGGGAAACCGTCCAGGACCGTCTGCTGGCTGCTCCGTGGCTCTCCCGAGGGGTACGGGAAAGACATGGAAGGAGAGTCAATAGAAGAAGTTCGACTACTTCCTCCCACCTACAATTCCGAAGTCAGACACAGTGAAGGCGTGGTGAGTCTTGTGGACAAAAGTGAGGCAGTGGCACGGCAAAGCGCCAAAGTCCCGGGTCCGCGAAGGGCAGCCCAGGGCGGCTCCGGCACCTCCAAGAATCAGTCTCTGAGCCCCGTCCCTGGAGAACAGAGGCGGGGAGCCACTGTCACTATATCCTCAGTCCCCAGAGGCAGAGGACAGTCTTAAGTTTTGGTCCTCGAGCTGTGTTTCCAGAAGGGCCCTTCCACGCCCAGAAACGCCTCACCAAGAACCCTGCTCGCAAACCAGGCTCCCACTGTGTGAGCCCGGAGACCCGCTGTATCCACCCTCACTGCTCTTTATCGTAAAGGAATAAACTCAAGCCCAAAAGCATTTCCAACAGGAGCACAAGGGAAGGAAATGCGAGGAAAAATCAGACAGACAAAAAATAGGAATCCTTCACATGAGAAGTGTAGTCTTCACGTACGCCTATCAGCTGGAAGTCACGAGCCATGGCCAGGGATAAAGTCTACTTCCTGGGCTGAGGACGTAGCTCAGCGGGTCCGCTGCCTGCCTCTCAAGTGCGAGGTCCCAAGTACAATCTACTGCTTCAAGTGCACAATCTGAATACTGACTGGGGTGATTTCTGTTTACCTTCGATCCCAATGCGAATGTTTTTCAGGCCCCGTTCCTTTAACACTGTTTTAGCAACATCTCGATTCTCAATATATTTGAAGAATCTGTAGAGCTTGGAGCTATAAAGAACTGAAACAAAACAAAACCCTGGGGTTAGTCACGAAGGCCTCTGTAAGACGAAGGACACGAGCTAAGAGAATCAAACTATCACAGGTGCACTGACCAATGGTGCTGAGAGAATCCAGATGGGTGAAAGATTAAATGCTGAATAATATAACCATAAAAAAATTTTTATATCCTCATGGTAGGGAAGATCTTTTGCGTATGACACAAAACCCAGAAGCCATAAAAGAAAAAAAAATACAGCATCTTCGCCTAGCCAGAACCACCATTAACAAAGCTAAAAAGATAACCAAGTCAGGAAAGTATTTGCTGCTCCTATTACAATGAGCTGACTTCCACGGAGGGCATTTACAAACCACGGAAAGACCAACAACCCAACTTTGTAATAGGCCAAAGGCACAAGCACAGTTAACAGAAAAGGAAATTAGAACAGCCCTTAAAAGATGTTAAAAAGCCTGAGTCATAAGTGCAAATTAAAACTACATAGGGCCGGGGATTTAGCTCAGTGACACCACACCTACCTCTTAAACACAAGGTCAGAAGTTTGATTCCCAGTAACAAAAAAATAAATAAAGCTACACAGATCATAAGATGCTATCGCTTCTCGGCCTTTTGGCTAAGATCAGATATAGATCATAAGATGCTATTTTTGAAACTATTAAGAGTGGCAAAGATAAGTTTTTCAAACTGGCGAGAGTGTGGGAAACAAACCTATTATATATTGCTCTGAGTCTAAACTGTAACAACCTTTATGGAGGGTAATTTGGCAATGGCCATCAAAGTTATAAAAGCCAAAAGCTTCCATTTCTAGGAATAGTGATACATATGTGAAAAGACTGCTTATGAAGACATTCACTGTGCATTATGCCTAATTCACAGCCTACCGGTCCCCCAGGGCTGGTTCCGTCGGCGAGGGCACATTCGTGCAGCGGGGTACCACGTGGGGGAAAGGGTGACACGGTGCAGGACAGTCTGAGCACTGGGGATCACTGGGAAGAGGGAAAAACAAGTACGGCACCGTGTGGGTGTATGGGGTATACCTGAAGGCGACCAAAACACTAAGGAGGAACACTGGGTGGTCGAGGCAGGTCCTTAAAGGATTTGTTTCAAATGCAAATCCCTTTATGAAAACTTCCTACGTTTTGAATCGAGACCAGACCGGTGTGAAAGGATTGAAACTGCAATGAGAGGAGAGAAGAACGGCAGCACATTCGGTGCTGGCAGGACCAGGCGCGGGGCAGGAGGGCCAGGCGTGAACGCAGACACTGTGTCCCCAGCACAGGACCCGGCTTCGAGGCCCCCCGAGTGCGATCACACCCAGGCCACATCTTTGTGGTGCCGCACATGTACCCTGCAGGCCCCTACTTTGGGAATACTCTTCTCCCATGGGCGGGGGGTGGTCCTCGTCCCAGTCCACGGAGTCCTCGCCCGTCAGCACGACGATGTGGCACTCTCGCTCCCCTTTCTTGGCACAGCCCACCATGATGGGCAGAATGAGCTCTTCGAGGTAGTGGTCAAACTGCTTGTGAGCGCCGTCGTTAGACAGCTCGTGCAGTAAAGCACCTGAGGAGAGAAACAGCAGCTGAGCAGGCTCCCATTCCCGGAGTGCAGCAGCTGTTACTGAAGCAGAAGCGCCTCCCGCTCCTGTCCCGCAGCTCCTGTGCCGCAGCTCCTGTCCCGCAGCGTCTCAGCACATCAGGTTCCCTAACCCCCGGGCATTCTGAGGGAGCGAGACAGTGCTGTCCGGTCAGACTGTCCGGTCAGACTGTCGGGCCACGGACCCTGATTCTGCGAGAGGTGGAACCATGATCCGGGGAGACTGCAGCACCTCTCGTGAACAGGCTAGGGGCCCCGTCACGGGCTGGGCTTCACACCGCACAGAGAGAATCTGATGTCCAGCAACATCAAGGGACTAATCTACGCACAGAGCAAACCCAGGACAAACTGTGGGGAAATGCATCAGGAGCTTCAAAGAATGTTTTCCCTTTTCTTTCTGTACTGGGGGCCAAACGCAGAGCTACTCCACCCTGAGTTGCATCCCAGCCCTTTTTATTTCTGGGACAGGATCTTGCTAGGTTGCCCAGGGTGCCCTCAAACTGGCAATCCTCCTGCCTCAGCTTCCCAAGTGAAGGCTTATACCACCACCCCTGGCTCCGAGAATAACGCTTCAAATAATTCAGGAAGCCTAGGTAATGATTAGAGCAAGGACTCTACGTCAGAAAGTATGAATTCTAATCCTCGATTTAATGATTAAAGAGCTTTGAACAAGTGACCCCATTTGTTAAATGAAGTCAGCACCATCTTTCAGGGTTAACTGTTAAGCAAGTCAGCACCTATCAAGCGCTAGGCAAACACCAGGTTAACGATGATTAAAATCACGCTAAGGAGAAGCCAGCTGACATGCGGTTTGATTTACTGCAGCCTTCTGCGTGTCCAATCGGCTGACACTAAGGGCCCACCCACAAGGGAAGCACGCCGAGCTCGACTGCAAACCCGCTGCTGGGCTCTTTGTTTACTCCACTCTGAAGCAGGAGAGGGAACAGGTTTGCTGGGAGGACGCCCCTGTTCTGCGGATGGTCCCCACCTCTACTTGAAACTCATTGTGCTTAGTGATAAACTGCATTCCTTCTGAGCCAACGGCAAGTCCGGCTGCTCGGGCGAGGGCAGCCGCTCCGAACTCACTCAGATCTTGACACCGGATAGTGTTGAAGTCAAAATTAATGCAGAGGTAATCGCAGGTGTCTCTGAGGTCTGGGATAGAGATGCCATCCGGACAATTGATGATACCAGTTTTGTAATAATCCTGTGAACAGAGGAGGAGGGAATGCAGGTGAAGAGATGGCGCGGTGCTGCTGTAACCCTGCTCACTCCTGGTTCTGCTGAAGTGATGGCTTCCCGGAATTATCACCAATGTGGCGATTCGGCAGGGGCAAAGTAGCCCCCGGTAAGCAGAACTTGACACTGACCAAGCTCACACAGCGGGGAGGACGTCAAAGTTACACGAGAATAAAAGATAATAAAGAAGGCAAGGCGACAACCGGACATGGAGAACCGGAAGCCAGTTACATGGATGTTGGGCTGCTGAAGGAAGAGATAAATAAATGCCACTGGGCCGGGGATTTAGCTCAGCGGTTCCGCCGCCTGCCTCGCATGTACAAGGACCCGAGTTCGATCCCGGGTACCAAAAAAACCCAAAACAACAACAACAAGATAAATGCCACTACACACCAGCACCGTGCGAAACACAGTCGCACTGATTCCTTCGGCAATCTCGTACTCTCCCTTCTCGTTGGGCCGCGTGAAGTTGTACTCTCTTCCTGGTCCGAACATCCTGCAAGACACCCAGCAACAGCGTTACCGCGGCCAGGTCTTCACCGACAGGCTTTCCCCTCCTCAGCGCGTCGGGGAGACCCCACCCCGCTCCCGCACGACGTAAGGCTCACACCGCGCTGCACCCCAGCAGAAGGGAGCAGCAGGTGCTCTCCGCGCGCGCAGAGAGGAACACGCGAGCCCGGCAGGTTCGCCGCAGAGGGGGCTCTGGACAGCCTCGGGAGCGTGCTGGGGCCTCCTGTGTCCTCCACGGCTGGGAAGACGGCTTCTCCCTTCCCTCCTCCACCAGCACTTCGCCGCCCTGTCGGCAGGCGCAGCTCCCTCCTGCCACACATCCGCGTACGAGATGTGGGATGGAGGACAGCACAGGCCTGGGTGGAAAGTCTCCATCTTCAGCCAGCCTGATTTGATTTCCCAACGGGGACTCGCTGCCATTTCCTTCCTCAGCCAGCTGGGAAGCCCTGCTTTCAACTGTTACTCTCTATCCTGAATGAGCTGCTTTTCAAAGGTCTGAAAATGATTCCACATCACGTTTTCCTAATCGCTGCACGATGTACAAGAAAACCACCCTGGTAAAACAACCTCCAAAGAACACTGACGCTGTTCCGGGCACGCAGCCGGGAGAGAGGCGGGCGTGCACGATACGCTGAGTCCAAGTCCTCCGGTCTGCCTTGGGCAGGACTTCGGCTCAGGCTGGTTTAGGACTAGTGGCACGGACTCGCTCTAACCCACACCCTCTCAGCTCCCCGCCATGACTGGTGTCCGCCCGTAAGCTCACTGCCTGGGAAGGACACAGGACGGAACAAACCTAAGGGACTCGGCATTCCTGACCTCGGCCTCCGCAGCCGAACGAACCACCCAGCGGGCCAGACTCTCTTCATGTGAAAACCCACCCATTCCTACATTCGAAGAACCAAGAGATTTTTAACCCAGAAAACACTTGCCTATCTTCCCTTGACCGCTACCCGCAGAGGCACCAACCCCAAAGAGCCTGCACTAAAGGAACTTTTCAGGGGAGGGACCACAGTGCTAACAGCAAAACTGAGACCAGGAAGACAAGCCTGACAAAATATACTTAAGTGAGAGATGTTTCTAATATTCTACTTTCATCTTAATTCAGATGTCTGAGAAATACACAGACAGTTTTGGTTCTACCTTAAGGGGTCCACTTTGAATTCATATGCTCCCACATATGCATTTTTAGAGTTGGGTTCCATTTAGTTTAGATTCAGCAAATGCGTATGTCTTTCGTTGGTACCGGGGATCAAACTCGGGTCCATGTGCTTACGAGGCAGGCGGCGGAACCGAGCCAAATCCCTGGCCCTCGGCAAATGAGTATGATTCATTCTAATTTCTAGTTTGTTCAAATTAGTTCAAAGTGCTAAGTCAGATTAGATCTTTATAGAAAATAAAACCTACTTCCAAGTAGGTGAGAAGCCCCGTAGTCAAATCTATCTATACACCGCTGTCATTATTTTTACTCTTATCCAAATTTGTTCTTGTCGGTCCAGGGATTTAGCTCAGTGGTTCCACCGCCTGCCTTGGAAGCACAAGGACCCGAGTTGATCCCCGGTACCAAAAAAAAAAAAAGAAAAGAAAACAAACAAACAAATGTGTTCTTGTCATGTTAATGGGTGGCCAGGAAGAGCATCTCCTGCTGCCCAGGCCAGGCTTGGGAGCACCTGCTGACCAGCTTGCCCCGTGGCAGGCTGACAGGGTCTTCCCCATCTGCAGAAGTCTTGAAGAAGCAGAACAGGGAGCAGAGCACAACGAATAAAGAGAATTATTATGAAAGAATAAAACAGCTAGGTATAAAGATGCCACTTCAAAAAACTTCAATAGTTAGAGGGGAGGCAATAGAACATACAGCACAGCCTCTATGGCCAAGCATAGATGTGGGCAGTGCACGCATGTAAATGTTTTCAGCAAAATAGCTCCATTCTTGTATCATGTGGGATATTTAACACTGTTTTTTCTTAAAAAACAAAACAAAACATGACTTAGGTCTCCAATTATCCAAGGAACTCTGACCCGGGCAAGTCGGAAAACATCAGTGAGCTCAGAAGAGTACAGAGTGAGATTTGGTAAGGTGTGTTCCCTGGTCCTGACCAATTTTACTCCTTCTTGTGAGGCTCCGTACACTGCCTGTTTTTAGGCCTTGCTTTGTGTGGAGCAGTGGACGGAACCCAGGCCCGGCACATGGCGGGCACCTGCTCTACATCTGAGCCACACCCAGTCCCTGCCCTGGCTTTGTGCAAGAAACACACCAGCCCCTCCAAATCATCAGCACGTCCAAGGCTTTATGAGCTTGCGGTTCCCTCTGCACACAATGATAAAGGCAGAAAAATAAGCAACGCGATGCTTTTTAGTGTCGCACGCTATGTAGGATAAACAGCATGTATTTCTATGCACAGAGAACAGTGGGTCCAGAAGAAAACCATCAGTCACCTTCCCAACATGGTATCCGGATGAGCAGTGAAGATCTGTGGATTCACAACAAACCGCGTGCCATCTACCAGAAGTGTCACTTTCTCTGGCGCGTGGGAATGAGCGTTACTACCAAAGCCCACGCTGCTATTTCCAAATCTTTCTGGAGCAATAAAGGGTTCGTGATTCCGCTTGCTCCCGCTCGGGAAGCAAGAACCTTTGATGTCCTCAGGAAGCGGCAGCATGTGAGAGAACTGAAGATTTGCTGGCGGAGAGGCGTAGTCAGGCGAGAGATCTGAAAGGGCACGCAAACAAACCAAGTCACTCGAGAGAAGAGCCTGGGGAGAAAAATAAACCCTATCCTTCTTAAAACAACTCAGTGAACAAAAATAAAAAACAAAAACCCCACCAAACTGCTACATGTTCACAGGCAAAAACAAAACAAAACAAAACAAAACAAAAACTTCCTCCCAAGAGTAAGTTAAAAAACAAAACTAAACGAGACCCATAGTGCATCGCCCTGAACTTACCCCTCATGTATGTGTGGAGATCAATAGGGCAAGAAGGCAGAAATGCCCTGGTTTTTTCAGCTGTTTTTAAACAGGGTCTCGCTATGTAGTTCAGGCTGGCCTCAAACTCAGAGTGATCCTTGTGCCTTAGCCTCCCAAGCTGGGATCACAGGTGTGCACCACCACACTCGGCTAAAATGAGTTTTAAACTGTAAACTCCCTGGATGGCTACAAAGGTAAACACTAGAGAAGAACTTACGTGAAGACCCAGGGGTCCTCTGCACCGCACAACCCATCTCCAGGTGGGTCCAGAGACGGTTACTTTCCTTCTGTTTTATTTCTATCTCTAAAACATAATCTTCTATTTTCTGTGTTTTATTTAAGGAACCCACTGCTGCTGTGGGCTAAAACTATTAAATTGCACATTCTTCAAAACTGGTTTTAAATTTTACTCTCCAGAAAGGCCGCGAGTCTCTGATGTAATATATCACGTTTGCCAGAAACTCACAGGCTTGGGGGTCCTGACATCATCTCAGCAGCTCAGAACAGGAAGCTCTTGCTCTTGGAACCAAAGCTCCAGTGCAGATGCTTTTGGATTCACTCATGGACCCTCATACTTTTGTCCTAGCCTCACCAAAAAGCCGTTTTCTTTAAATTAATTTTTCTCAAGCTGATCTTAACTGTGAAATGAGGGTAATAATGTTCACTCTGGCTATCTCACAGGCTTGTTCTGATAACTGAAGCAAAGTATGAGATCGTATCTAAAACTGCAATCACCACATAATACCATACAGGCTTAAAACCAAGTATGTGAAACCTGGAGGACTGTCAGAAGCACTTACAAAAACACTACCAGGCAGGGCCAGGGATTTAGCTCAGTGGTTCCGCTGCCTGCCTCCCAAGCGCAAGGTCCCAAGTTTGATCCCCGGTACCAAGAAGAAAATAAACAAACAACCCCAATACTAGATGATTACTTTAAAACTAATATATTTATTTTATTTTAGTGTCATGCAAGTGTTTTTTAAGGAAAAATTTCAAACATACAGAAGCACAGACTTAATACATTTATATCACTTATACTTGACAAGCTAACTTTTTCCTACCTTTTTACAAAATGTTTTGAAAGAAATAAAAGGCTACATAGTACAACTAAATAGCTCGCTTTTACCCCTCATATACTGTTTTTCCTTTTTTTTTTTTTTGCAGTATCAGGGATCAAACTCAGGCCCTTGCATTTGCCAGGCAGGTGCAGTCCCTCTTTTCATTTATTGATTGATTGATTGAGACAGGGTCTCACTTTGTAGTTCAGGCTGGTCCTGAACTATGGAGCCCAGGTTGCCTCAAACTCACTGTGATCCTCCTGCCTCAGCCTCCCGAGTGCTGGGATTACAGGTGTGCGCCACCACGCCCAGCCCCTCATATATTTTAAACGTGTATACAATTACCCACCAAGACTACTGCCTATAACTTCTGGGAAATTAGTCTGACTTCCTGCATGGATAACAGAATAGTTAATAAAAGGAAGCAAATACCTCGGCCAAAAGCCTATTTCGCGTTCACACCCCGTAGGGTCTAGGAAGTGTCCAGCAGAGCGTGAGTTGCACACCAAGGCTGAGGGCCACACAACACCCTGGCTGCCGCCTTCGGCATCAGACACCTCACTCACCATGAGTGTTCGCATTTCAAGTGCTGTTCTTAAAAGTGGAACAGGCACCAGAAGTACTAACTCCACTCTTTAGAATGCTTGATCTCACCTCAACAGTGAAGTCATTAAATTGGTTTGATGCCTGCACTCACGGAAGAAGGATCGCCTGCACACTGCTCACATGGGGGACAGCAAAAGAAACCAAATTCTTCCCCACGGCCACTCACGCAGGGCACAGCACACGCCTTCCCCGCTGATGCACACGGCACAGCCTGGTCAGAAAGACAGGCTCAGACCCCAGGTGCCCGCCTCCCAGCACAGTCGACTGAGAAAGTTACCCAACCTCGGGTTCTTCATCTGTGAAATAAGAACAGTAGCTGCGAAGCTCAATCTAGACAGGGATGGCCAACTTTCTGCAAAGGGCCAGAAAGTCAATTATTTTAGGTTTTGTAGCTCACAACCTCCACCACCACAGCTGGCCACAGCCACAAGTAAACCAGTAGATGTGATGGCCGTATTTCAATAAAACTTTACTTAAAAAACAAGCAGCCATCAGACCTGACCCCAGGTTACCATCCCTGCTCTGAAGGACGTTCTGTGTGTGAAATTCTGAGTAAGGTGCTGCTAGGTAAATGGCAGCTGCCAGCTGAGTTACAAGTTTGAAAGTAAGACCAAAAAGTAGAGCCAGTTAATTAGCCACCTTGCAAATAACTGACGGAAAAGATGCTCCTGGACGTGGGACTGCTGAGCAGTGTCTCTAGGTCTTGTCCGTCAGGTCGGAACACAGACAAGGAGGCTCCCAGGTGGAGGCGGACACAGAGGGTGACAGTCCCTGCTGTGTGCACCATGACGGGGACACATCAGGTCACTCAATGGAAACGCACTCTCCTGCTAATGACGTTTTAGCAATGTAGGTCTGGCAGTAAACTCTCTTAGAAACATTACGCTCAGTGCACTCTTGCTTTATGTCTCATTTTAAATAAGCATTGAAGAAATATAGTATTTTAACTGCAATTCTGCTACTACGCTTATCTAGAAGCCTATTGCTATGCCTTCTATGAAAGTTTTGTCGTTAAGAAAGGCAAGATTAGGTATTTCTCTAAGATGGAGTTTGGGTAGCTATTTTTGGTTACCAAAATGCTCATGCAACTTTGGGATTTTTGTAATTGGCACATATTCACCATACATGATAAAACACAACACACTGTATAATCTCAACACTGTAAAACAGGACGCCGTGTGTCTAACACAGCCCCAGAAGGGAGTGTCCAACTCAATCCTTCATGCTTATGCACGGTTTTGCTCTTGGTTTCTTGTGTTCTCCTGTCTCCTTTGTACAATGCGTCTATTAACTTTTTAAATAGCAAGGTTATTGTAAAACACAGGCATTTTCACATCATTAACTCAATCCACCAGCCTTGTAAGAAGGAAGAATATTTGTTTTTGTTTTTTTTGTTTTGGTTTTTTTGAGACACGGTCTCACTAGGTAGTTGAGACTGACCTGGAACTCACTATTTAGCCCAGGCTGGTCTCGAACTCACAGCAAACCTCCTGCCTCAGCCTCCCGAGTGCTGGGATTACAGGTGTGTGCCACCACACCCGGCTTAAGAAGGAAGAATATTAATACTGTTTTCTAGATTGAGAAGGCAAGAGGATTGCCATGAGTTTGAGGCCAGTCTGAATTGCAGTAAACTGTCTCAAAAATAAAAATAAATTTTAAAAAAGAAAAGAAAATCAGAGCAGAGCTGAACTCAGAAAGACTAGAGACCTCTTCTATGAGCTAGACCTTGAGCCTGTCTTCTGACAGCCCCGCCACCAAGTCAGGAGCGCTAGGCTGATTAAGGACTGGAGACTTTGGGAAGGTTAGCGTGACAGTAATGAGATATGCAAGCCACGCCAATGAGCTGCTAATATATTCAGGTTAACAACACCCGTGCCTCCGGGGTAGAACAGACGCTCAAGTGTCAGAAAGCCCCCAAATTAAGTCAAGAGCTAATCACTGCACCTTCATTCCTGGGACCTACGGGGTACGTGAGATTGTGAAGACCAGATGAAGCCAGGCTGCTCGTTTCTTTCTCTTGAGCCGCAGCTGAGGAACCATCATCCACTGTGCAGCTGGCCTCTGGCCGCAGTAACCTGTCGCTCTCACTGCCACGGTGAACATTCATCCTCGGACCCTATATCCTGAACTGTCTGTTGGATCACAGAGAACTCCTAGAAGACAGAAATAGGCAACAATTAGGACCCAAAAGCCAGGTTTCCCAGGACTCCCGGGGTACGAAAGCCAAACTGGAAAAGTGATAGCTCTTTCTTTTTTTCAGGAGAAAGGGGAATCTCAAAGGTTCATGGGAGTGTAGGTTGAGAAGACAGGGCTCACTTAAATGATCCTGACCGAATAGCTAGGAACCCTGATAAACTTACTACCAGGGAGTAGTTTTAAGCTTTATCCATAAATGGGTATCAAGTCCGCCGACAGGGCACACACACCACTAACCTTACATCTTTAAGTGGTGGAACAGTAATTTGATATTTATATCACAAAGCGAGGGGTGAGTGAAGAGTACGAAGAAAAACTGTCTGTTTTTAAAAAACACCGTACACACGCTTGCAACAATTAAACACCAGAAAATTAAAAGCAATCACAATCATAATGCAGTAAGAGATGGAGTCATCTGAGCTTTTAAAAAAATTGATTTGACTGGTAGCGCTCAAATTCTTTTTTTTTCTCTTTTTCACCTTCCATAGCTTATGCTCAACCCCAAAAGTGACCTCAAAAATAAAAATACACTGGCTGCAAGGCCACTGAAAGACCACCAGCTCTCTCAGGCCACCCACAGACCAATGGCCCAGGAAGAGTGGAGCAGCAGGAGCCGCCTTTCCCCTGGCTCAGGGCGCCAGCGACCCTTCTGTGCTGAGTGGCCCCGACTCCCCAGGCATCCCTGCAGCTCAGCCTGCCCAGCACGCAGCCCAGACTGGGCTCATTTCCACTTGGCAGTGGGAGAAATGTCGTAAGCCACGAGTAATTTATAGGCACATGCGTCTCATGCTTTAAACAAGGGCATTAACGAGTCTTAATACTCTGGATTCCCAGACATACCAAGCATGTAGTAGGTGTCAATGACTATCTGTAACAGAAATTAATACTGAACCCCTTCTTAACCTCTATTAATAACACAAGCTTAGTTCCTATTTTAACTTGAACTAAATATAAAAATAACCACTTTGAAAAGATGGATCAACGCACATACCTGAAAATAAGTTATTTTAAGGAAGAGATACTTTCAGTTGATAAAATCACTCTTACACAATGGCTCTTACAATATAAAACAAACTAAAGGAATAAAGTAAAAATACTGATAAAACACCTGATATGTGAAAGGGTATTTAAAGAAAAAAATGTATTTACAATATTTTAAAAAAGCCAGTTACAATTCATTCCTATGGTCAGACAGAACTCCCAGGGCCCTCAAGTTTGAGTAAGATGTTAAACTCAAGTTTAAAGAACAATATAAAGAAGTGTGAGGTGGGGAGGCAGCTCAGAGGGAGATGCGTGCCTCACATGTGAGGCCTTGGGTTTCATCCTTACCACTGAAAGACAAGGTCTATGGATTTTTTGTCCCACAGTTTGGGACTTGTCTTACTTTTTCACTGCTGAGACAAAATACCCAGCACCCAAAGTTAAAAGGGGAAAGGTTTATTGTAGCTCACAGTTTGTGGAGGTTTCAGCTCATGGTTGGCTGGCTTCAAGGCAGGGTGGCGCGGCAGAGGGGCCTCAAGGAGGAGAAACGGTTCATGGTGGACAGAAGGCAGTAAAGCAGCAAAGTGAATGAAGCCACAGTAAATGAAAAAACAGCAAAGCAAATGAAGCAATCAACAACTGCAGCCTCTTTCTGCCCCTTAGAGTCTGTTCAGGCTACACACCCTTAGGGTGGGCGCACTCACATGGAGGATGGGCCTTCCCATCATCTACACGCAGACCCGTGCCAAACCATCAGTGGACAAACCGAGTAATCACACATCCTTGATCCCAGCATCACAGCCTAGATCCAGTCACCCCTAAAAAGCCCCACCTATGACCACAGGAAGCTTTTGGGGGACATCCAGACACAAACAGGACTGAACCCAGGGTTAGTCTACCACTGAGCTACATCCCCAGCCCTTCCTTCCTTCTTTTTTTTTGTAACAGGTTCTTGCTATATTCCACACTACCTATGGCTACTGCCTCTCCACCCTACTGCTCAAGAAACATTCCAAAAACGGAGACAATGAAGCTAACAATGACAAAAGATCTAATAGAATGAAAACAGCAGGCAGGGTGGCCAGTTGAGTAGAAAAGGAAGAAAGAGAATCAACAACAGGAAAATAATGCAATGAAAGGAATAAGTCAGAACTTATCAGTAATAACTCTCCATGTGAATGGTCTCAATTCCCAACCAGAAAGAAACAAAATCTAGTACGTTGTATATACAAAACACATTTAAAATGGGCATGGTGGCCCACACCTGTAATCCCAGCACTTGGGAGGCTAAGGCAGGAGAATCTCCAAGAGTTTGAAACCAGCCTGGGCTGCATAGTGAGTTCAAGGCCAACCAGGACTACACAGCAAGACCCTGTCTCAAAAAACAAAAACGAAGGCCAGGGATTTCACTCAGAGGCATTGTGCCTGCCTCCTAAGCAGAAGGTCCTGAGTTCAATCCCCAGTGCCTAAATAAAGAAATAAATAACAAAAACAAAAAATGAACACATTTAACCCAAAAATAAATCCATAAACTAAAAATCAAAGGACAGAAAACAGTATTTCATGCAACGAGAACCCAAGAAAAGAAGTGTAGCTATCTTATTTTTAGACAAAGTAGAGCTCAAACCCAAACTGAACAGAAGAGGCAAAGAAAGTCATTACATATTAGTTAAGGGACCAACTCAACAGGAAGAAATAACAATTATTAACATATATGCAACAAATAACAGGGCACCCAACTTCATAAAACAAGTACAACTGAACATAAAAGATCATATAAACATAAACACAATTATAGTGGGGGACCTCAATACCCCACTGTCACAAATAGATCAACTAGAAAAAAAAAAGAAAAAAAAATATCAGAGTTGAACAAAATCTTTCAACAAATGGACTTCTAGATATGTGCAATATTCTGCCCAACAATGGAATACACATTTTTCTCAGCAGTACATGGAACTTTCTCCAAAGCAGACCATATACTAGCCAATAAAGCATGCATAAGTAAATGCAAAATAATAAAAATTATACCATGCATATTATCAGATGACAGTGCAATGAAATAATGACAAAAGAACACAGAAATTATGCAAACACATGGAAATTAAACAATATGCTCTTGAATAATCAATGGGTAGCATAAAAAAAATCAAGGAAGAAAAGAGTTACTGGAACTAAACAATAATGCCAGTACAACATAGCAGAACTTAAGTAATACAATGAAAAACTGACAGGATTGAGACCACCCCCCCATGTATATACATAACAAATTGAAGAGCTGGTTCTTTGAAAGAATAAACAATATAAACAAACCCTTAGCCAATTTTACCAAAAAAAAAAAAAAAAAAAAAAAAAAAAAGCCTATGTCTGGATTGTCTGCTGACTTTTAGAAGAACTTCAAGGAAGATCTAACACCAACACTCCTTAAAGCTCTTTAATGAAATTGAAAGGGACAGAGGACTCACAAAGCCATTCCTGGAAGCTAGCATTACTGATTCTAAAACCATACAAGAATCCAAACAAAAAATAAGTTCCACAAGGTTGAAGGTAGGATTCCAGCCCAAGATCTGGGGCTGGTACATACAACCTTTCCATGCCAGTGATAGACATATCAAGCATCTTTACCATTTAAATATTTACTATAACCTTCAGATGGGGTTGATTTTACAAGCTGAGTATAAATTTTTTTTTTTTTTTTTTTTTTTTTTTTTGCTGGGGATCGAACTCGGGACCTTGTGCTTGCAAGGCAGGCGGTGGAATCATTGAGCTAAATCGCCGGCATAAGATCTCACTTAATTTTGCTATAACTTCTTTCAGCTTAATACACACCAATTGGGTAGATGAGATTCTGTAATTTACATAGCAGGTGCTTCATCTTTTTTGATTGGACTTAGTTAAGATCACTCTAATGACATCTTTAAGCCAGTCACAATCCAAGGTATGTCAGACCAGTCAATGTCATGATTCCCAAGGAGAAGCCAGTCAACATACAACAGAATCCCCAGGCTGAAGTCCGTAATGTCCAAGTCTGAAACACTTAGCAGCACCAGAAGTATTTTGGATTTCAGATTTTTGAACTTTTTTTTTTTTTTTTTTTTTTTTTTTTTTGGTGAGACAGGGTCTCCTACAGAGTTCAGGCTGGCCTTGAACTCACACATAGTCCAGGTTGGCCTCAAACTCCTGGCAATCTTCCTGACTCAGCCTCTCTAGTGCTGAGATAACGTGTGAACCACCACGCCCAGCAGGTTATGGAACATTTGTATATGCATAATGCATACGGTATCTTATAGATGGAGCTCGTCTAGTTATGAAATTCATTTGCATTTTATATACACATAGCCTGAAGGTTATTTTATATAACACAGATACTACTTGTTTAATGACCAACTTATGTTTCTGCAACTAGGGCATAAAATGAATTATGAGGAATTGTATGTAGTACATGTTACAATATTCAGAACAAAGAAATGGTCAAAGGAAGCTCCAACTTGATGACTTTGCTGTTTTATGTGTAACTCTTACATGTAGTGCTGTAATGTATAACAGAACATAAAACTACTGTACTGTACAATCAGCACAAATTACAGTTCTGTATAAACAAAATTATCAAAAGAAAGACAATGAGGCTCTATCAACAAGATAGACAAAAGTGTACAACAACAAAAATGCATCGTAAGCCTGAGCAGCAGGCTGTAAATCTGAACAGTTGTTCAACAGGTAGATCATTAAATGAGAAATACTTATACTTTTAATAATTTTGTGCATGAAACAAAATTTTATAGGATGGAACTTTCCACTTGTGGCCGTATGTTTAAGACAAATAATTTTGGCTTTTGGAGAATTTCAGATGCTCTTTTTTGAATTCAGGGCCTTCAACCCATCTCCCCTCTTGGAGACAAGGAACTCACTAAGTTGTTAAATTGTCCAGCTTGGGCTAGAAAAGCAATTCCTCCTGTCTCAGCCTCCCAAAGTGCTGGGGATACAGGTGTGTACTACTCTGCCTGGCTCCTTCTTTCCTTATATATTCTTTGGGATGATTAAACTCTTTCACTACCTTGTCAAGAAGGATATTTTGATCATTTTTTCATTCTTTTCTCATAGATGCTTTAAGGCTATACACTTCCCTTTGTGCATGGCTTCAGCCTAACTCAATCCATTCTGATATATTTTAATTGTCACTCAGTTCAGCCTATTTCTTTTTTGGTACTGGGGATCGAACTCGGGTCCTTGCACTTGCAAGGCAGATGGCAGAACCAGAGCTAAATCCCTGGCCAGTTCTGCCTATTTTCTACATCTCACTGTGATTTCTTTTTTTGACCAGGTTATTCAGAAGTGTGTTGCTAAATATTCCAATGTTTGGGGATTGTTTCAGTGACTTTTTGTGTGGCTGAGACAAAATAATCAACACCCAAATTTAGAGGAGGAAAGGCATATTATTGTAGCTCACAGTTTATAGAGGTTTCAGTTCATAATCATCTGGCTCCAAGGCAGGATGTCATGGCAGAGGAGTATCACAGAGGAGAAACAGTTCGTGGCAGGCAGAAGGCAGCAAAGTAGCAAGCAGCAAGCAATGACAGCAGCCCTCTTTCTGTCCTTTATATTTCATCCAGGCTATGCTGTCTGGGTGGGCAGCACACCCAGGGTAGGTCACCTTTAATCCCAGCACCACATCCTTAATTCCAGCACCACACACCCTAGATCCAGCCACCTCCAAAAAGCCCCAACTATGAATTCAAGAGGTTTTGAGGGGACATCTAGATGACAGCCGTAACAGAGCCATACTTAAGTTTTTTACTGATTTTGAACTTTATTCCGCTGTGTTCAGAGAGCCTTATAGTATAATTGAGACTGTACTGCTGGATGGTCTCTTTTTTCAGGTATACTTGAAAAAGAATGGTTTGGTGCAAATTAAGCCAAATGTATGAAAAGTACTATCCACATCTTCTATGGCAGGAGTGGGAAAACTGCCTACTGCCTATTTTTATAGTTTTATTGGAACACAGTCGTGTCTACTTAGGAATTGGCTGCTTCTGTACTATTAAAGTATGGCCCACAAGACCTAAAATATCAGGCTCTTCACCAGGAGAGTGTGTCATTCGTGTTCTAAATCCTTACCTTCTGGCTCCCAGTAAAAACCTAGGATGTTTTATAAGGGGCCTTCCTTCTTGGCCCGCTTGGTGTCTGCATACCCAGCACCATGCTAATTTCTGCTCAGCTCTGGTCTCTTAGCAGCTGCTTCCAAAAACACTGGCAGGGAAGAGTGGTCCAGAATGTCAGGCTCACCTTAGCCTATTTCTCTTCTCTGTCTGGGCTCCACCAGAGAAAGAGAGCCTACAGTGGGTGTGTGTGTGTTTGTATGTGTGTACACAGAATTTCGTACACACTAGAATATTTATTGCATGGAAATGGCTTACCCAGTGTTGGGGACTGGCCATCAGGAGGGCAGGCTGGGACCCTCAGGCAGGAGCAGATTTTATTACCCACAGGTGGATCCAAAAGGTGGAATTCTTATGCCAGGGAAGCTTCCGTTCTGCCCTTAAAGCCTTTCAGCTGATTGCATCAGGACCACTCGTATCACCCAGGACGGTGGTGGTGGATCTACGGTACACGTGCCACAGTGAGCTGTTCGCATCACTGAAAGCTCGAAAGGTTCACCATCACTGCCCTATATAATCTTCCTTCCTTAGAGTAAAACGATTACAGACTAATCACATCTACCAAACCCCTTCACGGCAACACCCAGATCAGTGTTGGAATAACTAGGAGCCATGCTGAGCCAGGCCGACACACGCTGCCCACCACACCTTCCCTCCAGGAACTGACTACTGACTAGTTTTCTGATGCCTTCAGACAGATGTGGGGTTCTCCTGTTTTGTTTATATTTTCTTACTGCTCTTAATAGGTTCAGCCTGATAGAAACATGTCAATCATTAAGTAGAAGCCAAGTCTCTGTGTTTTATAAAAACATGTTCTAAAATGTAATAGTTGCATGAAAATTCAACAACTGGATTATACATAATTTAGCTTATTTCCATTTTCCTCCTTCTAGAGCTATAGAGAAGGGAAAAACAGGGTGTTTCTCCCGTTATGAACTTGCAATACAGGCAATACTTCTCTGACCAAGCAGTAATTCTTCATCTCATATTTTATCATTTAAAATATCAAGATGTACCTTGAAATTATTTAATAATGCTTCATTTTCCTAAAAGTTATTAGCAGATTGATGTTTGTGTCTTAAACTCGGTTAACAAGTGTGTTGCATTATCTACGGAAGTTGCCCAGAATGGGCTCCAACCTTCTATCCTCCTGCCTCAGCCTCCCAGAGTGCTGGGATTACAGGTGTGTGCTACTGAGCCTGGCTTCTGTGAAAATTTTTGATAACGACTGGCACTGGTCCTTGGGCCTAGATGATCTTGACAGTGACTGGACTGTTTTCAGAGTTTTCTGTTAGTCCTATTGCTACCGAGCTGATTCACAATGGTTCATACCAAATGACATGATTAACAAATTCTTCCACACCTTTAAGGAAGAAATTTTATCAATCTTACACTAACTTTTCCAGAGAAAAGTAAAAGAGGGAACATTTCTCAATTCTATTTCTGAGGCCCTCATAACATTGAGCCAAAATGTCGTGATGAGTACACTATTAAAAAGGACCATAGGCCAGTATTTTTCACAAACATATGCACCAAAATCCTAGAAAACAGCTAGAAAAGTAAATCTGGATGCATACAAAAGGATAACGACAACGGCTGGTGTAACATTAAAAATTAATATAACTCATCAACTAAAAAATAAAAAATATATTTTAGAATTAAAAACATGGAAACAATATTAATTGATATGCTAAGTTTTTCAAAGTCAGATTAAAACAATAAATGAATCCACAGAAAAAAGTCTGATGAAAATATTGAACTCTGGACCTTACACTTGCGAAGCAGATGGCGGAACCACTGAGCTAAATCCCTGGTCCATAAATTTTTTTAAAAAGCATTGTTTAACTTAATATCTCGGTATCTAAAATGGACATAATTTTACTCTTAAAATGAGGAAAAAAGGAAAATATATCTCTGAAAACTGGAAAAGCAAGAAAATGCTTGAACCACTGGAATTTTTAAAAAAATGCTTAGAACAGTTTAAGAGAAAAATGTGCATGTTGAAACAAATAATATATTACTACACAGAGGAGTCTGACATTTTTCTATCTAGATTAAAGAAGAAATAGGCTTAACAGGTGAACTGCGAATTCAGGGTACATACATGAAATAATTCCTAAAACAGATGATTCTATGGATGACAGCACCACCTCACTCACTAGGCTTCCTATAACATAGCCGCTTACACAGAGGCACCATGTATTCCAAACCCTGGTGAGGACGGGAAGGCAGCTACACAGAAAAAGATGCCCAGGGCCGGGGATTTAGCTCAGTGGTTCTGTTGTCTGCCTCGAAAGCGCAAGGACCCAAGTTCGATCCTCAGTACAAAAAAAAAAAGATACACACACACACACACACACACACACA